TTTAAATTAACAAGTAAAAAAAAACAAATTAAAGTCAATTTCTACTTTTTTTTTCACTCTATTACTATAAGTCTTTACTTTTTTCTGACGCCATCTATTGGTAGATATATATTAAACTAAAAATCTAAAATTAATTTTAAATTTATTGAATGAATTAATAAAAAAGTTGAAATTTTCCTCAAGTTTAAAAAAAATGTATTTTCTTGAGTGGATGGCCATCTATTGAAAATTTGAACAAGATATACATTCAAGAACCAAACATTATGACCACCTGTCAATAACAAGTTGGCCCACCTTTGGTGCACAACACAGCTTCAACCCGCCTTGTCATGGATTAATACCGCCACTTAATACCAGTTAAATACCACTTCCACTTGATCACATGCCTTCCACGGCATCCAGGCGAGTTCATTGCAAAATATAGGGGTGGTCATAATGTTTGGTTCTTGATTGTATAAATATATACACTCAAGATATAGTATATATAGAGTCAAACTCTCTCCATATATATATACTGTATATATATAGTATATATAGAGAGAGAGAGAGCGTGTGAACTAATAATAGGAATCGAACAACAAAGAAAGCACTTTAAATGAACAGGTTTAACTGTTTTATCGAATAAAATAAAACTGTTTAAAGGAACACTGTTCTTAAAAGATAACAAAAGCAAATTATGGAGGCAATTGATTGATCGTTAACAAATTTTATAAATTTCAATCTGTATATATAAACTACTTTTAAATATAAAGATGCAAATACGTTTACATACTAATTAATACAATCGCAGTATTTTTGTAGAGGGAATTTCTCATCCCTTCACATAAATATTCATAAAAATCTTCAATAAACCATTTATGTTCCGAAAATAATTTAGTTTGCATATATCTGCCAATTTATTGCTGTTGTGAATTCAAGTTAACAGAGACTTCGATTTTCAATAGTGTTTGACAAAATTAAATTTAATAACTAATTTATGCCATGCATGTCTTTTCGTGGAAATAAATTCACCTTTTCTGAATACAAATTAGATTTTGCAAACTTCATTGATCTCACAAGTAAACAGGACCGCATTTGTAAGTGTCGGCGGAATTTCTTGCAAATGCAGAAAACACGGACAGAAAGGAGAACCTTGAGGAAAATCCATTTCACAAATCTCCTCGCCAGGTTAAATTACGTTTACAGGAGGGACAGCCTAAATTGCAGGAGTTTGCGCATCAATAAAACGCTTCATCGGATAAATTAATTAGGGTGGTCACTATAAATTGTCTTCGGTCTCTTTTGGAAGAAGGATTGGCCCATAAGGCGGGAAACCAATAAGATTCTATTGATTAACATTCTATTCTCCATTGTTCGTAGTTTCCTGGTGGAATTATCCGGATAATGAGATGGTCTTTCCCTGTTGAAGGTGATCTTTTCTTGCAAAAGGGGGACGCTTATTTACTTTGGGGTAAGTAGTACTTCGATCAACTCCTGCAAAAAATAAAGTGCTTTTTCTAAAAGGCTGTTATTACTGTCTGCAGGTAGATGGTTTGGTTTGTTTCTCTACTGTCATTTTGGGCTGATTAGACCGGGACTTACAGTTTATTGTAGATTTCGAACCTCTCACAAAAGGGACCTCATGGCCATTTGGCTAGCACTCTGCCTTTGGTACCATACGCTTCATGTTCGAATCCTGAAGGTGACATGGAGGTCGGATTCTGCCAATGCTGTACCGTACGGAATATACCGGTTCTCCTTTGATCGCTGAAATCAAGCATCATGGTACACAGTCAGTACTTGGTAGGGTAACCACCTGTGAACACCGTCGTCCACACTGAAGGGCCGAGTGTCTCGTGCTCTGGCGCTCGGTCGGGTTCGAATCCCGGCAATGCCATGGATGTTTGTATGGGTTCAGAATTCACTTTAAGACGTAGGAACCGATCTTATATAGAGTCATAAAAAGCCCAATCAGACTCATCCACATCATTCCAAAACTGTGAAGGTGCAACTCATCTCTATCTATATCAAACAAAAACATAGAATAAAGCATGCTTTCTTGGAGAAATCATTTTCAAATTCTTTTAATTAAAACCAAAAATAAGAAGCATGATTTGCGTTTTCTTTTCTATAAAAAAAAAAAACATAATTTTGGCAATTTCTTTTATTGCAAGATATTTTCTGGTAAATCAATTTATTAGCTAAACTCGTATACAGATACCACATTATTCTTAATGAAATGTTAGTAATTAAAGGTTTTATATGCCATCCCTTAACAGTTGAATTGAAATTAATAAATAACGAAGAGACCCCTTTAAATGAACAGGTTTTAATGTTTTATCAAATAAAATAAGGCTATTTAAAGCAATACTTTTCTTCAAACATAACAATGTAAATTATCGAGACGAGGGATAGGTCTTTAATATATCTCATAAATTTCAAGTTGTATATGTAAACAATTTTTAAGTATAAAGATGCAAATATTTGTACATCCAAATTAATACAATAGCAGTATTTTTGTAAAGGGAATTTCTCATCCCTTCGCATAAATATTCATAAATATCTTCAATAAACCATTTACGATACCAAAATAATTCAGTTTGCATAACTGCACAATTTAATGTTGTTTGTGTATTTCAAGTGAACAGAGACTTCGATTTTCAATAGTGTTTGTTAAAATTAATTTTAATAACTAATTTATGCCGCGCATGTCTTTTCGGGGGAAATGAATTGATCTTTTCTGGATATAAATTAGATTTTGCAGAGTTCATTGATCTCACAACCGAACAGGACTGAATTTGTAAGTGTCGGCGGATTTTCTTGCAAATGCAGAAGACATAGACAGAAAGGAGAACCGGAGGAAAATCCATTTCACAAATCTCGCTCGGAGCTTGAATTACGGTCACAGGAGGGATAAGCCTAAATTGCAGAAGTTTGCGCATCAATAAAACGCTTCATCGGATAAATTAATTAAGATGGTCACTATAAATTGCCTTCAGTCTCTTTTGGAAGAAGGATTGGCCCATAAGTCGGGAAACCCATAAGATTCCATCGATTAACGTTCTATTCTCCATTGTGAGTTGTTTCCTGGTGGAATTACCCGGATAAGGAGAGTGCATTTCCTTGCTGAAGGTGATCTTCTCTTGCACGGGGATGCTTATTTGTTTCGAGGTAGGTGGCACTTCGATCAAGTCCTGCAAAAATTAAAGTGATTTTTCTAAAAGCTCTTATTAGTTACTGTCTGCAAGCGGATGGTTTTGGCTTATCGCTCTACGGTCATTTTGTGCACACTTCGGGCTAATTAGACCGGGACCTACAGTTTAGAGTGGATTCTGAATCACTCACAGAAGTTGCCGGCTGGCCAATTGGATAGCGCTCTGGTTCTCTGTACCACAGGCACCGGGTTAGCATTCTGGCGTTGTAATGTTGTATCCTTGGATGTTTGTAATGGTTCGGAATCCACTTTAAGCCGCAGGTCCCGGTCTCATATGATGGTAGAGCTTCATAAAGCCGGTCTCATATGATAGTAGGGCTTCATAGAGCCCAATCAGACTTTTCGCCCACATCATTCCGAAACTGTAAATGGGCAACTCAGCTCTAGACACAGTGTTCTGGTGTGGTGTGGTGTGGGGTAGTAGTAGAACCACTCACAAACATCCAGAGTAAGATGTATGATTTGAGTTTTCTCTTCTATCATAAAAAAAAAAAAAAAAATGCATAATTTTGGCAAATTCTTTTCTTGCAAAACATTTTCTCGTATGTCTTTTTTTTTTTTTTTTAGCTATACTGATTCCAAGTTATTCTTAATGAAATATTAGTAATTAAAATGTTTTATATGCTATGCCTGTGCATTTGTATTGAAATTAATAAACAACGAAGAAAACACTTTAAATGAAAAATTTTAAAGGTTTTATCAAATTAAATAAGGCTATTTAAAGGAATAAAATTCTTAAAACATAACAAAATGCAAATTATCAAGGCAATGATTTGGTCATTAACATATCTCAAAAATTTCATGTAAACAACTGTTTTCAAATACAAGGATGCACATATATTTAAATACAAATTATCACAACATCAGTATTTTTGTAAAAGGAATTTCTCATCCCTTCACATAAATATTCATAAACATCTTCAATAAACCATTTACGAGGCGAAAATAATTCAGTTTGCATATCTGCCGATTTAATGTTGTTGTGTATTTCAAGTTAACAGAGACTTCGATTTTCAATAGTGTTTGTTAAAATTAAATTTAATAAGTAATTTATGCCGCATGTCTTTTTCGTGATAATAAATTGACCACAAATATAAATTAGAATTTCCATACTTCATTGATCTCAGATCTGAACAGGATAGAATCTGTAAGTGTCGGCGGAATTTCTTGCAAATGCAGAAGACACAGACAGAAAGGAGAAGTTGGAGGAAAATCCATTTCACAAATCTCGCTCGGAGGTTAAGTTACGTTTACAGGAGGGACAGCCTAAATTGCAGAAGTTTGTGCATCAATAAAACGCTTCATCGGATAAATTAATTGGTGTTGGTCACTATAAATTTTCTTCGGTCTCTTCGGAAGAAGGATTGGCCCATAAGGCGGAAACCAATAAGATTCTATCGATTAACATTCTATTCTCCATTGTTCATTGTTTCCTTGTTGAATTATGAGGGCCTTTCTCTGCTGAAGGTGATCTTCTCTTGCAGAGGAAGGGGTGGGGGAAGATTATTTACTTTGGGGTAGGTGGCACTTCGATCAAGTCCTGTAAAAATTGAAGTGATTTTTCTAAAGGCTCTTATTACTGTCTACAGGCGGATGATTTCGGTTGTTGCTTTACGGTTATTTTGTGCACACTTTTGGCTAATTTAGGCTAAATTTATGCGAGACTTACAGTTTAGAGTGGATTCCGAACCACTCACAAAAGGGACCTGATGGCCAATTAACTAGCGCTCTGGCCTTTGGTACCATAGGCTTCAGTTTATAACCTGGCAGTGGTAAGGATTTTTTTGAGTGGTTCGGAATCTACCAAGATTATATCGTGCTGAATACACCGGTTTTCCTTCGATCACCGAAGTCAAGCATCATGGGACGCAGTCAGTACTTGGTAGGAAGACCACCTGGGAATACCGTGCGCCATTTTCATTGAAAATGTGGGGCATGAATATCCGTGTGTCTAGCGCTATGGCGCTCGGTGCCACAGATTTCGGGTTTGAGTGCCCGCAGTGCCATAGAAGTTTGCATTGCTTCGTAATCCCTTTTAAGCCATAGGTACCGGTCTCATATGACCGTAGAACGTCATAGAGCCCTAACAGACTTCTCACTCACATCATTCCCAAACGGTGAAGGGGTAACTCAGCTCTAGACACAGTGATGTGGTGTGGTGTAGTAATGGAACCCCTCCCAAACATCCATGACATTGCAAGGATTTGAATCTGCAGCCTGTGCTACCAACGACCAGAGAACTATCCAATTGTCCTTCAGGCTGCATTTGTTTTCAGAAGACAATAGCGTGCAATTCAAATCGGCAATCTACGTTTAGAAATGTGCCTTTTAGAGATATTACACCTGATTATCTCGCAAAATGAACAATACCATCAATTCACGTTAAACAAGTGTTGCCAGTGCCATTTTTTTTTTAAATCTTAGGTTGTGGTAAAATTGGTAAAACTCCTTAGATTCTAGGGAAAAAAAATTAAGATAGAAAATACAATTTAAAATATTAAATTGAGTAAGTATTATTTTAAAATTACTAATATTACTCTGTTATTTTTCTTATTAAATTTTAAATTTATTTTATAATAAATAATGTACTTTAAATGAACGTTTTTAATGATTTTATCAATTAAAATAAAACTATTTAAAGGAATACTTTTCATCAAACATAAAATGCAAATTATCGAGGCAATGGATTGGTCGTTTATATATCACATAAATTTAAAACTGTGTATGCAAACAACTGTTTTCAATTATAAAGATGCAAATATATTTAAATACAAATTAACACAACAGCAGTATTTTTGTAAAGGGAATTTCTCACCCCTTCTCATAAATATTCATAAACATCTTCAATAAACCATTTACGATCCGAAAATATCTGCATATCTGCCGATTTAATGTTGTTGTGTATTTCAAGTTAACAGAGACTTCGATTTTAAATAGTGTTTGTTAAAATTAAATTTAAATAATAACTAATTTATGCCACCAACGCATGTCTTTTAGTGGACATGAATTGACCTTTTGAATACAAATAAGATTTTCAAACTTCATTGATCTCACAACTGAACAGGGACAGAATTTGTAAATGTCAGCGGAATTTCTTGCAAATACAGAAGACATACACAGAAAGGAGAACCAGAGGAAAATCCATTCCACAAATCTCGCTCGGAGGTTAAATTACGGTTACAGGAGGGATAAGCCTAAATTGCAGAAGTCTGTGCATCAATAAAACTCTTCATCGGATAAATTAATTAGGGTTGGTTACTATAAATTGTCTTCGGTCTCTTCGGAAGAAGGATTGGCTCATAAGGTGGGAAACCAATAAGATTCCATCGATTAACATTCTATTCTCCATTGTTCGTTGTTTCCTTGTGGAATTATCCGGATAAGTGAGATTCTCTGCTGAAGATGATCTTCTCTTGCAGGGGAAGGGGGAGACTTATCTACTTTGGGTAGGTAGCACTTCTATTAAGTGCTGCAAAAATTAAAGTGATTTTTTTAAAGGCTGTTATTACTGTCTGCAGGCGGATGGTTTGGTTTGTCTCTCTACGGTCATTTGTGCTCACTTTGGGCTAATTAGACTGGGACCTACAGTTTAGAGTGGATTCGAAACTACTCACAAAAGGGAGACTGATGGTCAATTGGCTAGCACTGTGACCATTGGTAACATAGGCTTCAAGTTCAAATCCTGGCGATACCATGGAAGGTTTTTAGTGGTTCGGAAACGGCCAACTTATACTGTGCTAAATATACAAGTTATACTTCAATCACCGAAATCAAACATTATGGGACGCAGTCAGTACGTGGTAGGATGACTACCTGGAACACCATGTGTCATTGGCATTCAAAATACGGGCACTCTGTCAGTCGCATTCAGACATCCATAGCAACGTTGGGTCCCGAACCCAAGATATGTAGTACCGAGCACAGGAATAATATATCACTATATGTATTTATTTTTAATAAAAAAAATCTGAGATTTCTGTAATTTTGAAAATAAAATTTAAGAATCTACTAATTCAAGTAAAACAAATGAGGGAAAACAGCGAAGTATCAGCAGTATTAATGTGCAGTGATTAATTTGCCTGTCCCTGTTTTTTGTAGCCTATATTTCGTTATAAAAAATAAGCATCTAATTAAGAGTATTATATAAGATATATATATATATATATATATATATATATATATATATATAAACGACAGCATTACACCACCACTTTTTAAAATGCTGATAGTTCAAAAAGATTGTCAGTATAGAGAATTTGTAATGGGCTACGATATTGAATAGTGAGCATGAAATAATTCGTGGTTAGACTGCGGTCTGGTGGCCAAGTGACTAGCGCTCTGGCATTTGGTACCACAGGCTTCACGTACGAATCCTGGACGCGGCATAGATGTTTGTGGGTGGTTCGGAATATACTTAAAACAGTAGGTCCTGGTCTGTTTAGCCCTCGTCAGCACAAAATGACCATAGAGTGACAAACTAAAAAAAATTTGGTTAGACGTCTGTTAATCTTCTTGACATTTTTAAATTTTGTGGGATTTACACGAAACATAATTTAATGCGTGTTTTTATTTCTGTAACTTAATACATTATTTTGGGTGTCATTTTTAAATAACTGATTCAACAGTGAAAAAAAGTAAAAAAAGCCATTCTGTTTTAAAACTGAATGAAAAAAAAATTTGGATGCCATCCCAGTGTCCAACCCCCACTTCATTTCTGCGAATGATAAACGAGCTAATTCCAGGTAATTTAAATAGGAGTGACAGCCACAGAAAACTGTCTGACAAAGAGCCAGAAAACTCAGCCAATAACTTCATGAACAACTGTCAGCGCCGAGAGTAATCTGCCAAACAATCGCCAAGAAAAATTTTGTGAGCAGAAATTCCCACGAGAAAAAGATATTAATGACTCCAGGCTCCACCACTGAGTGACGAAGTCCGATTCTCTTGTTGCAACTGAAAAGGTCTTGCCTAGGCTCTTTGGGCTTGTGGGTCTTACAAATTACATTTGAATTTTTCGATTTTTTACTCAGCTAAAATTTTTCATAAAAATAGAAAATATTTATATTCATAGCAAAATTAAATTTGCAATTAAATATTATTTTTAAATTACATTGGATTATATTCTAAACAGCTCTTCTTTTTGCAAACATTCGATTGAGATTGATTTTATTTTATTCCTGTTTAAAATACTGAAATGGAATTTAAATTCCTAAATGTTGTAGAGGGGGATTTTACTACTGTGTCCAAAAAATAACACCAAATTTCAATTTAAATTTCCCGGTCATATGGTATTTCAATTTTTTTTTTTTCTTTTTAGATTGTTGGCACTGCTCATAAAACTGCCTATTTTTGACATAAAATTTAACACAGATGTCAAGGACAGTGCCAACAACCTAAAAAAAGACAAAAAATTGAATTACCATTAGCCCAGGAATTTTATATTGAAAATTTTTCTTCATTTTTGGACACAGTAGTATTTCGCTTAACTTATTTTTTGCTTTGTATAAGGACTCGCGTGACAATCAAAATATATTTTTTCTCAATAGGACTCGCAAAATGTAAGGCAATAATCTAATTATAAAATACATTATGTTCTCCCACAAAATATCTAGGATGTCGGATATAACTTATAGGATGTATGTAGACAATACTTTTCGTCATCTTCCGTCAAGTATATCTTCTACAAATGTGCACAGCGAAAATATTGTGCTAAATATTGTTATGTATGTGTGTGTACAATACTGAAGAAGCAGTCATATATATATATATATCAAATTAATAAAATAAACTTTTAAATATGAATTAAACAGCAAATTCTATGGACATTTGAATAAAACCATAAAAGTATGTAGGTAATTCCGGCATAAAAATTGGCGCAGAGTATTGAAAGCCTTAAAAGGAATATCTTGCTTACGACACAGAATAAAACTTACATAAAACCGCATGGATGAGAAGCTTTCATTGATTTCCTATTCCATTTTAAAGTCTTGCGTACTACTACTTCTAGAAATTGAAGGGCACGGAACATTGCTTTATTAGGGCCAATAAAAAGATTGCTGTTGATCCTTGCTGACGGACTGCTCAACCTCAGATATTTAGTTAGCCCTTCCTTTTCGAGGAATACTTGGCAGAAACAAGCAATATCTACCTTCCATACAAGAAAGGCATTTGTTTCGGATTGTTAGGAGGCAGTTCTTGCTTTTTCTTTTGCTGTGGGTTTAAAGCATGTTTCTTAACACACGAGCTGGCATTTCAAAAGGCATCGTGGTAGAGCGGGTATGGATTTTTGTTTTCTGCTTAGTAGCAGAAAATGGATTTTTGTTTTCTGCTTTTGTTTTCTGCTTAGTTTTCTGCTTAGTATATTTCTCATTTTGTGTGGTGGAAAAAGCCGCTGCAATATTTCATCAACATGATTTTTCATACACGAATTAAGAATTGAACACTTAGAAAAAGACAAATAAATTAACTTAATATAAATTAACTATATAACGAAGAATTAAGAACTATATTCCAAAAAGTAACGAAACTGAATATCATTAATTAAACTCGAATATTAAAAGAATGAAGAGATAGAACGACATCACCAGTTTTAAAAAAGAAAACACAAATATTTATATAAAACACAGAAAAACAGTCTATTATTCAAAATATCCGGGAAATCAGTAAAACCCGCTCACTAAAAAAAGAAGTACTTTTGAAAGCTCCAAAGGGAATATGTACGCTTAGAATATAGCAAACCATCCTATTTCCGCTCTCTAATTGACCGGATCCAAGTTAAAAGCACATCTACCGACGCATCCCGATAACATGGAGCAGAAAGTACTACCTTCCTCTTAGAGTCGATAAGATATAGTACTGAAGAAGCACTCATATAATAGGAAATTAATAAAATAAGCCTTTTAAACATGAATT